TTCCAGTTTGTATGGTGACTTATAACACACTAGAAATAGTAGTGCGTTTGAGGATATAATTGTGAAACCGTTATATTTTACCGTTTTATGCGACTATTTTCAACGATTTAGTCAAATCGTTCGATGAATTGTTTTGTACATATATTACGACACTGAAACTTTGTGGTCTCATGGAATTCGTATCGGAATTGTTATGGAATAGCGACACTCCGCTTGTCAGTACACTATGGAGAATTCGAACAGTTTCTTTTGTTACCAAGAACATTCCCTTTTGTCCGAGCTGTATCCAACAAAATATCTATTCACGGACATCCATCCATTTTTACTATTTGTTCGTATGCAAAATTTGGGTATTTTACACAAAACAAGGTGCTCGTATTTTTCACCACTCCCGACAAACAATTCGTTTATTTCTGAATAAATTCCTATTTCCAAAGTACCCGACCCGAACGCACGAAACAGGAATGCAATAATACCAAATAATATCATATATAACTGTATAAAAACTGCAGCCATTTTGAAAATCCAGGTTTATCCATATATACAGATGTTATGAAAGGATATCACACCTTTTCAATATTTGGGCGAGTAAATCAGCCCACAGATAGCGAAGTGGTGTGGTAACCTTGGACCTTATCTAACGGAAGGGCGGGGTCATACTGGTGCTCCTAGGAAACAAAGTGGTCGCTCGGTTATCTACAAAACAAACCTTTTGTATTAAACGAAAGTGAAAGGGCGCGCCTCTAAAATAACGCTGGACAATGACCACTATACAGAAAATATTTAGTTTCGTCACCGAATATATTTAGACAGCACATAACAAAACCGCTAGCCGTAACTATGCCGGTGTGTAAATAAGATTAAATGCCCGTTCTTTCTCTTTGTAACAATAAAAGCAACGGTATAAAGTTACAATTTCAACAAGCATCAGCAACGACTAGACTCAATTTGTTGACAAGGGTAATTCGATTGCCTGTTTCTTGTCGGGTGGAAAGAATAAGCTTAGAACTGCCCCGGTGGTTCTGGTGAAACCAACACCTTCTTGTAAACAAGTGATCGAGGTACCGTTAGCAGTTTAAGACGAAGACAGTGACGAGGAGACTGGGTTTCGTCTGAATTCAGGATTTGGTCTTCACGTCGTGTAGAGAAGGGACATCCCTCCATATCATTTGGAGGAGAAGGAATTCCTTTGAGTGTGATATCGCGTTGAGATGCAGAATAATAACGCGTGTTTTCGTGCCCTGGGTGAAAGGGGGCATGTAGAAGATCTTAGCGGGTTCAGTAATATTTACCTTGCAATATATATTCAGCATGCCGAACGTGTCGCATTCAAAGAATTGCCTTATTAGATCAATTACTTGAACAGATAGGCGCAAGAGGGGCAGAGTTGCGACAACCAGTCTATCATATTTCATGCCATAGGTTGGACACCTCAAATATTTCAGGTTAAAAGTAGTTAAGTTCATTGAAAGTAAGTTATCTTTCTCGCACATATGCAAACATATTAGCACATATGTGAAATTTAAACCGCAAGGAAATTGTGTTCCTTTGAGGTTTGTGACATAAAACGTTTTCTCTGACGACGATTGTAATATGATCGGAAGTTGTTCTTTTCACAATCATTGAATAAGAAATAGGAATCCACACAAACAGGTTTGGCAATTATCTCAGACGTACCATGGTGTAACGGGGTGTGTAAACAAAACTAATTGTAGGGGTGGTCTCCGCATCTTCTGCACAATCATTGCGTGTACAGAACGTGCGGTTTGTTGCTTCTTTATCTGTCCCGCTGCTTCGCTGTGATTACGTGTTTGGGTTTGCCTGCACTCGTCCGCATTCTTATGTTCCATCAACGTCAAACGTGTGTGACCTGTGTCATAAGTATTCTCATATGTTCGGAAGAAGCTGCCCGGATAACCACCTCGTTGCCAAGACACTACCCACTCGCCGCGGTGACAACTAGTCGCCTCCAGAATAACCACCCCTCGCCACGGAGACTTCCACCCGTTGCCAAGACACTACCCCCTCGGCACGGAAACAACTTGTGGCTACCCGGATAACCACCCCTCGCCACAGAGACTTACACTCTTTGCCAAGACACTATCCCCTCGCCACGGAAACAACTAGTCGCCACCCGGATAACCTACCCTCGCCAAAGAGACTTCCACTCTTTGCCAAGACACTACCCCTCGCCACGGAAACAACAACTAGTGGCCACCAGGATAACCACCCCTCGCCACGTTGCACTCTTTGCCAAGACACTATCCCCTAGCCACGGAAACAACTAGTCGCCACCCGGATAACCTACCCTCGCCAAAGAGACTTCCACTCTTTGCCAAGACACTACCCCTCGCCACGGAAACAACAACTAGTGGCCACCAGGATAACCACCCCTCGCCACGGAGACTTGCACCCGTTGCCAAGACACTATCCCCTAGCCACGGAAACAACTAGTCGCCACCCGGATAACCACCCCTCGCCACAGAGACTTACACTCTTTGCCAAGACACTACCCCCTCGCCACGGAAACAACAACTAGTCGCCACCCGGATAACCACCCCTTGCCACAGAGACTTCCACCCGTTGCCAAGACACTACCCCCTCGCCACGGAAACAACAACTAGTCGCCACCAGGATAAACACCGCTCGCCACGGAGACTTGCACCCGTTGCCAAGACACTAACCCCTCGCCACGGAAACAACAACTAGAGGCCACCCGGATAACCACCCTCGCCACGGAGACTTGCACCCGTTGCCAAGACACTAACCCCTCGCCACGGAAACAACAACTAGAGGCCACCCGGATAACCACCCCTCGCCACAGAGACTTGCACCCGTTGCCAAGACACTAACCCCTCGCCACGGAAACAACAACTAGAGGCCACCCGGATAACCACCCCTCGCCACGGAGACTTCCACTCTTTGCCAAGACACTACCCCTCGCCACGGAAACAACAACTAGTGGCCACCAGGATAACCACCCCTCGCCACGGAGACTTGCACCCGTTGCCAAGACACTAACCCTCGCCACGGAAACAACAACTAGAGGCCACCCGGATAACCACCCCTCGCCACGGAGACTTCCACCCGTTGCCAAGACACTACCCCCTCGCCACGGAAACAACAACTAGTGGCCACCAGGATAACCACCCCTCGCCACAGAGACTTGCACCCGTTGCCAAGACACTAACCCCTCGCCACGGAAACAACAACTAGAGGCCACCCGGATAACCACCCCTCGCCACGGAGACTTCCACCCGTTGCCAAGACACTAACCCCCTCCCCACGGAAACAACAACTAGAGGCCACCCGGATAACCACCCTCGCCACGGAGACTTCCACTCTTTGACAAGACACTACCCCTCGCCACGGAAACAACAACTAGTGGCCACCCGGATAACCACCCCTCGCCACGGAGACTTCCACCCGTTGTCAAGTTCCTACCCCCTCGCCACGGAAACAACACCTAGAGGCCACCCGGATAACCACCCCTCGCCTAAGAGACTTGCACCCGTTGCCAAGACACTAACCTCTCGCCACGGAAACAACAACTAGAGGCCACCCGGATAACCACCCCTCGCCACGGAAACTTCCACCCGTTGCCAAGACACTACTCCCTCGCCACGGAAACAACAACTAGAGGCCACCCGGATAACCACCCCTCGCCACGGAGACTTCCACCCGTTGCCAAGACACTACCCCCTCGCCACGGAAACAACAACTAGAGGTCACCCGGATAACCACCCCTCGCCACGGAGACTTACACCCGTTGCCAAGACACTACCCCCTCGCCACGGAAACAACAACTAGTCGCCACCCGAATAACCACCCCTCGCCACGAAAACCTTCCAAGGCACTACCCACTCGCCACAGAGACAAATGGTTGCCACCCGTATAACCACCCTTCGCCACGGAGACAACAACTGCTCGACACCCGGATAACCACCCTTCGCCGCCAAATAACCACCTTTCGCTGCCAAATAACCACCCGACTCCCACCTCTTCCGCCTGCAAATCCAAAAACCTTCAAACACCCAGACAACCACCGCAACACCTCTTTCCACAGCGAGTTTGCTGACTACACTTCAAGTTCCTAACAATCATCAATCGAGGTGCATCTCAGTGAACATCCCTACTGATAAATTGCATATAGGGATCATATTTCATCAACAAGGACGCCCTGTACAGTTATCGTGTTGCACGCATAATGGAGCATCAGCCACACTGGGGTATTCACAATTTTTAAGTCCTGCACATCCCATATCGTCATAATGGTCTATTTAGTGCATAATGGGGTTTCATTTCAAGCTGTAGCAGAAATCTGAAACCTATATAAACATACCAAGTTTTTGTCAAAGTGAAAAATCACAGACCCACCTTGAAGCTATATTTGACTTGTGGATGGATCGCGAGCAAGTGCTTTTTAAAACTGGATTTTAACAACAGGAGCGTGTGAGTAAAATATCGCACTTGCAAAAGTGGGCGATTCATCAGTCGTTTTAAATAATCGGATTGTGGATGAAGCGTGACGAATCACGTATATGTCACACATCCAATTGTCACGTACATTTTCGTTCCTCAATAGCGGACATGACATCGATAAAGATCTTCTGTCGGTTAACATGAAGGAGTGGTTTCACAGTGTGCGCCTAGTGCCTGTGACGTCACTCCGCGAGGTTCGTGTCCCGACGTGATGGTATAATGAGAATATACACTGCCATTTATATTAATATATATTGATATCTGAAAATTGGATTATTACTGAATAGTATAGGTCTGTTGTATCCAGTAACTGATTACAGAGATAGTCTTTATTCCCACCCTACATTAAAAAAAATGATAAATTATTTTTAATATTTTCAAAAACTCATATGTCACCATTGCCAATTGTTGGATAACAATTCGTACGTGGCTCCGATACAGTTATCAGTACGTGTCATCATACGTATTCGTTATACATAAATATTCACCATGAAAGAATCGGTTAATTGTATACTCACACGACATGCACGTCAGGAAAAGAAGGAGCCTACGGATATTTTGCAACATTATGCACGGGCAAGCGGTCGCTTTCCTAACACGCTGGGGGACGTGGCTGGTCTGACTGGGCTTTTCAGATTGCGCGTGAGGCGCCCACAGTGAATTGCTGGGAATACTCGTTCGGGGCTGGTGAGATTTATTTAAAGGCCAAGACTTTGTGAACAAGTCCCATTGTGTTGAAATCAAGAATTGCGACAGAGCCTGGTCATGCGACAAGTTGGTGATTCTAACGTTTTAAGTACAGTTTATTGTCAAGCTCGGGTGAATTTCCACAAAACGACTCCGGTTGTTGAAATAATTACGTACACAAACATACGTTTACAATTTGCCGATAAAGCATAATGTGGAAAGGTTTTTAAAAAGATTGATCATTATACGTTGTTATTATAATACAAGTAAGAATAATGTTAAAAAGTTTTTAAGAATATGGATGATTATGCATTGTGATTATAATACAGTAAAACTTCAATTGGCGACCAGTTAGATCTACAACACGCATCAGTGATAGTGAAACAGTAACGTATGGACGGTAACTGTTATTAAGTCAGGAAAATTTCAGTTTAAAAAATTTTATTTAAAAATTCTGGCTACAATTATGCAGTGCACATTACATTTTGATGAAAATAATACAACGCAGCTGTTCAGGTCTGTGTACTTTTCTGCTTCAGACGTTAGATCAAATTGTTTCTCTTTTGTGAAAGGCTTGGTCTAACAGTTCTATTAAAAATTGCATATGTCATGTGAAGCAAATATTTGACTACAAGAGTGTGTTCAGGCATATTTTACCCCAACAAATCAGCTTTGAAAGTCTTTTGAGTACATTAGACATGTTTGTACATTTAGATCTATATATATTTCATGAAACGTTTATCATTGTGTGCTCTGGTGCATTAGGCAAGTATGTTTGTACCGGAGAGGCCTTCAAGCAGACTTGAACCAGTTGATCAATCCCTATTTATGAAATAACATAGTGGTTATACCGTTCTATATCGAGTTGAAGCAAGTTGTTTCTACATTAAAATAAAAAACTTGCAGTTAACACGCGGATTTGGTTTAACGTACACTTAGATTTTAACTATTATTTTTGTACAACCCTATTATATTGCTTTGTGATCTAAAATTCCAAGATTGCGTGCAGAACACACGCAGGATAATCTGTTACGTTGAAATACAATTTTAAAAATTCAATTCAGTGATACCATTTCTCTAGCTCATTACATCGGCGAATATACAAGGTATTGTTAGTAAAAAATGTTTTGATCTGTTGTTTTATTGTATTGTCTTCAAAGATATAACCTATTGCTACTCGATCAATGTGTATTAATATTTGATGAAAATGTTAGAATTATTAATGATTATTAATATGTTTTTATCCCAAAATAAGTCACACTGTGTATGTGGATCTAAAGGCCGGACATTTCACTTTCCAGATTTTCTTTCTATTTCTTGTTACTTCATTTTGTTTTCAATAAAACAGGGTTGAAAGGTCAAAAGTCCTGACCCTCAGCACATTGTCCATTCTTTATTAATGATCGTACTAAACGAACAGCACCATTTTCCCAGGAAGGAAGAAAGAGAGAAAATATGCATTGGGGGCCTTATTGTGCTTCATCGTTCTATTGATCCTAAACTTCAAATGACTATCAACTCCCACCCCTCTATCCAAGGTCACATGGTAGGTCAACCTTCTCCCAGGCAGGGCGAGATACAATGACATTTGTTATTCAACAATGCTACTAACACCAATCATTTTTACGGGCAATACGGCTTCAGGGGATAATCAGTTTCCTAGTATTTTTATTGAAGTCTGTGTGAAATATGTGGTTCAATTGAATTTTGAGCTTCTTAAATGGCGCGGAATAATCCGCTGGAGTTCGAGTTTAAATGATTATCGTTCAACTGAATATTCTCAATGTGCATATGTGTCAGAAAGTTTTGGCTAATGTCTAGTTTTAATATGTCTCACAGTCCTTGAACCACATTATTACCCGTCCGGCCAGCGCTTTCTGCAATTCTAAAGCCCTAAATGAAGCAAGTCTAGATGTGCTTAGGTCTGAATGTCCCAATTCCTTTTCAGTTTCTAAAGAATTATTTATTTGTGGCAAAACTTTATATATTTACTGAATTAAGGATCCACTTTCGCGGGTTCAAATCCAATAATTGCACTGGTCATTTGATCCTTGATAACAATGTTTAGATATTTTTAGTATCGAGAACACACCCTGTTGAGATTGCGAGTGAAATATATTTACAATATTTATACAAAAACACGGGGAGATACAACGCGTGTTATTTAATGCCGCTTTGGACTTAAGACCGAAACGAGGATTACGTCCTTGGCAGACGGTGACGTTTAGTGAACGTTACGCCCACGTTAGAACCCAGAGCAAAACAGGCTGTTTTAGAAGAAATACGTTGCCAATGATTGTTATAAATGTATGATTTAATTAATATTTTAAAATGCATAATTAATAAAATATGATCGCGATTTGGTGTTACTTCAAATTTGACGCTTACGTTTGAAAATGTAACTGGGTCTTTATAAGTACTAGCAGTAGTAGTAGTAGCAGCAGCAGTAGGAGTAGTAGTAGAAACTGGGATTCTAAGACCAAGAGAAGCCCTCTTTGCCCCAATGTGTTGCATATATTTATATACTCTCCTCACCAGCGATGGCGTTCATAAATGATTAACCATACTTGTCTACAAGGGATATCATTGGCTACCTCAACATCATCATCATCATCATCATCCTACGTCAGTATCCGCGATAACCGCCAAACAGGTCGAGGTCAAAATCGGCTGTATTGATCTGCTCACCCACTGATAACGCTGTTCACAGGGGTGGAAACAACTCCATTTGTTGTATTTACGTCTTCTCAAACTTATCGGAGATTAACGTTATTGAGTATGCCCAGCTATGGGGAATGATATATTAGCACAATACAGAGGCATTCATAAGTCAAGGTTACTGTATTCACAAGGGAAACGTTATTTCTTTGACGGGTAGGTTCAGGGTGGGGCAAGGGAAACGGCGGATGGTTCTAGCAGTCGAGCGGAAATACAAACGAGCAATACGACCTCGCATATAATTGAAAATGTACACTTACAAGCATGATTTGAGGTATCAATTGACATTAATACATGTCTGGACAATACCTGGGCGGGTACGTGTGCACTCGAGCTAGAAACATGGGTGTCTCGGAGAAATCTGTCTTTTCAGTGTTAAAGTTCACTTCCGCCGGACACCCACAATAAAATAGGAGGTTGACGTCAGGGAAACGATTTGAATGAAATATGGAGTCTGTGTGTCTCTTTAGCGATTGTATGTAAAATATTCCCACATGGGCGCAGGAAAAGCATCAGTTATGATATATACAGTGTTTGTTTGTTCGGCAATATTTCAGTTATATGGCGGCAGTTTTCGGTGTGCGAAACAAGACAGCCAGTCTCGTTATTTTGAAGATTCAGTATAATGTTGGTTTTGTCAGTCACAAATAAATACCTGTTTCGTATGCTGTATTGGTCGCATTGGCAAAGTTATACTGAATTTCAATCAGAGCCATACAATGACATGCTGTCGTTGTAGCATAAATTTTATATCACGCCGAACGACGTGAAAATAGTTTTAATCAAAGGTATGTTATTTGGATTTGAAACCTATTTACCAATCGGATGGCACAATGTAGCTTTCGAAATATTTCCCACGGCCCCCAAAAGACAGAACACATGTGTCTAGTATTCTTCGTTATTGGTTAAATCCAAACTGGTTTTGACAGACTTTCAAATTACAATTAATACATTTAATCTGTGATAATGGCAGACATTACACCTAGAACTCCTTATGCATTGATTTAATTGGCTAAAGATGTTGTTTTCATTGACCTATGAGACCGTGACAGCATGTGATAATTGGTCATAAACAAAGGCCTATTCAGCACTGAAACAAGCATTAAGCGTGATGTATATCGACCCGAGAGACAAATTAATTACTCTTGCAATTTAGACCCAGGTTCAAAAAGGATGTCGCATACCCAGACGTTGTTACACTGTGTTCTAAGGCTGATGGATTGAAGGAAAGGTGTGAAAAGCCGTCAGCTATTTACCGAAGTTTGCTGAATTGCTCCAAGCTATAGCACCTGTGCCGGCAGACTCGTTTTTGTATGTCGATCGTTTGAAGAAATGACAATTTTACATGCTTAATTAAATTATATCATAAACATGTATATATTATCTTTACTTATATTTTATTTATATGTATGTGTTGTCTTTAATGTCTCATAGGCCATTTGGCCGGACATGGTGGTATTTCGTAGAATATTCTTAATTTCCGATATTGACCGATTTACAGTGTGACAGTATAATACAGTTACGGAATGGAAACTCGTTTTGTTGTCGATCACCACATCATTTCAGTGATGAAAGAACGTACTTGTATTATTACTGAACGAAATAGCTTTATGGTTTTATCATATTTTTTTAAATATTTTCTTTTGCGGATTAACACCAGTAAGAAATGATTATTTGAAAATAACTTTGCTGAAACTTGTTGGTTTGTAAAGGGGGACTACAGGGATCGGGGGGTCAGTCTCACTGATTTGGTTGACACATGTCATCATATCCCAGTTGCGTAGATAGATTCTCAAACTGTTGATCACTGGATTGTCTGGTCTTGACTCGATCATTTACAGACCGACGCCATATAGCTGAAATATTTTGCGGTGGTAAAAAACAAATACACGAAACAAATAGATATTTTCGGAGGATAATAATGCCATACAGCCGAAGATGAACCTTCGTGAAGACATGTTTGTGCACTCAGTAAGTGTCATTTCGTTGTACATTTACGACTACCGTCAAGCGTGTTGTTTCCTCGTCATGGGCGCCAGCTTTAGAACCAATACTGCCGTTAAACTCAGTAGACAATTGAAGCGCACCTAAACTACACGTTTGACCTGTCGTTATCGGAAAATGGGTCGTATTGTCGTAAAAGACGGACCGGTTTCATTACATTTACTGCCAAGCCAATATGATCATACATGTTAAGGCATCGGGTTTTTTTCGATTGCTGCATGTTTAAATGCATTTTGCGAAAAGATTTTT